TAACAGTATCCTAAGATTATTAAAAAAAATTTATTATTATTATTATTATTATTATTATTATTATTATTATAGTATTATTTGCAGGGGGAAAATAGAAAAACCTTATCGAAACGTCTAAAAACCAGCTAGAAAGGGTCTACATAATAACAAAGGAGGGTTATTCAAGTGTGGAGGTTTACTAACGAGGTTTTCAATATTTTCTAGCCCCATAAATCTATCAATACTAAAAGAAAATTGATTAGGCTGTGTGCCTGGGTAGTAAGGAGCGTGTTCATTAACAACAGGTCTTTGATTAGGAACTATAACGGAAATATTTCGATTCATAATACGAAAGAATTAAAGATAGAAGCTTTAGTGAATTTCAATAAGTCGTTATTACAATGCTTAGAGGAGCATATAGAAATGTTGTCTGCGCAAGCGTCAAATTTTGGCTTGTAAACGTCTTGGCCGCCATCTTGCTTCTATTTTGAGCCATTGAAGAAGATTCTTTGACATTCTACATCTCTCCTAAAGATATTTGAGAAAGGCCATCCAAAAAATACGACAGTCTATCTGCATCTGTATTGCTGTGGATGGTTATTTTCAATATGAGGCTCGTAGATCACAAGATATTTGGAGTCAAATTCAGTCGAAAAAAGGAAAATGTTGCGAAACCGCTGAAATTCTTTCAACCTTGATGCTCATCAAAGATAATTTGAAGGGATGCCTACCAGTCAAGGCTAGTAGTAAGATTTTGAAGTTTACATTCTGTAAAAGTACACTTCTCTGCATGTGTCGACGTATAAATAAATTATTTTGCAATGTTTGGTAGGACAATTTCCATGTGTTATTTACACTTTTCTGTACCGGCATCTCGAAATCACGGAACCACCGGAACCAACGGAACCACTTGAAAAACCCCTGATCTTTAAGATAAACGCATGAGAAATATTTCGTTTTTAATTTCCTTCTCTTATTCAATTCCGTGGTCCCATCAATCGCAAAATCAAGACGAAACAAAAAAAACAAGACGAAACAACTCGATTGTTTTTACCCACTAATCCTGATCGCTAAGAGATTAGATTGCTGGACTTCTACTGCTGAAATGGAAGTCAGATATTAAAACCATTCTGAAGCTCATAAAATTACTTGTAACTGGAAAAAAGGTCAAACCAAGCTTGTCTTCGTTCAATTTTTTAAGTTCGAGTCAATGGGCGCCATTTTGAAACACAGGAAACCCAATACCAGGTGGGGTTGGACACAGCGCACGAAGCATCAAGGGGCAAAATAAGAAGCTCTCGAAGATGGTGCATCGGAGTTTTCAAAGCGAAAAAAAGTTGTTAAACTTTAGAAGAATCTAAGGCGTAGGCATGGCTTCAATCTCTTTATATTTTTAATGTATTTTAGAAACAAGGCGTTAACTCTACAAATGTGAAATGGATTCATAATTAAATTTCGCGTCGTTGTTTCTTGTGAATGTTTTCCGAGATGTTTTGGTCGAGTACAGTTTTATTTCGGTGTTTTCAAGACAAGCTATATATTTCTCATGCGTTTATCTTAAAGATCAGGGGTTTTTCAAGTGGTCCCGTTGGTTCCGGTGGTTCCGTGATTTCGAGATGCCGCTTTTCTACCTAATATTGCAATTCCTGTTCAGTCGTGCCCCAGACAATAATTCATGAATTGGTTTCCTTTATGCCTACTCGTTGCACTCAAATGCTTTTTGGAATATCTGCTGTGGTCCCTCTATGTAAGATTGTGCTATTTTCGTGCCACGGTACCGAGAGAGTCTTGTTGTTTACGATTTCAGTGTATTTTAGGAGCTAGTGTATTCGATATTAAAGACACGAAATGCTTTAAATTTTGTGTTAAAAGCTAGCTTAATTCCTAATCTTTGGGTATCTTGACATCAGTTTTCGGCCAATGAGATGAAAACGAGTATGATCAAATTACTAACCCAATCACTTTGACCGAGTCAGATAAGGTATGCTATTTAACAGGCAGTCTTTTAGGAGAGGACATCAGTTGCTCCTGTTTACCACGGACACAAGAAAGAACTCCAAAAACCTTCAAACAAGGTATGTTTACGTTTTTGTACACATTTGTTGTATTGAATAGAAAAGACCACACAAGAACTAGAGACATCTAGGCAGGAGATTAGCAGCTTTAGAGAAGAACGAGACAAGTCAAGGAAACGAGTAAGTAGGAGTAAGATTGCGCGCTGAGGAATACCTGAGTTTTGACACTGACCAGTCTATGAAAATTTACAGTATGGACGTGCCGTGACGTGGTGCCGCGACGTGACGTGACCGGTAACGCCGTGTCGTGACGTGACGTATCTCTATTGATTTACCAAACACAACTAGACGTGAAAGAGAACGGCGTGCGCGCTGACAAATGGTGCTCAAAACGGCCGTTGACGTCGCGAACTTCTTTACAGGACCTGGTACAGGACGTGAAACTAGGCGAAATGGCCTCCTGAATTAGACGTCACGAAGTCATTGGCCTCTTTGAGAGCCATTCGTCTTAGGGTCTGTCACGCAACATAGGAGGCTACACCAGTATTCAAGAGCTTCATTTCCATTTTAACCCGTATCTTCGCTCAATCTTTTTTAGATTCTCGAAATGCAAGATCACCTCAAAGCTCTTCACCAAAAAAACAATAAACTTTGAAACCAGGTCTCGTTCATCGAGCTTCCACGAACCGGGCTCCAAGTCACCACGGCAACCGAGAGCAAATCCTCCCCAACCAGGGGACCCCAGGGGACCCCACACAGGCAGTCGATCGTTTCCTCGTCAGACTAGTTACAGCAGCGCTGCTTCTGATGTGTCTAGTCGTGATGGCTTCTTGGCGGCGTCACCTCGTACAGCAAGACGATCAAGCATCGAGAACCTCAACAACTCCATGTCTAAAAGTCGTTCTCCCTCCACCCCCAGGCGATCTGTTACACTACCCGGTAACTACACGAGACTTGCTAGTGGTAGTAGTATGTCAGGGCAAGGGTTACCAGACAGCCCTACTATGACCCCCAGGGGAAGTGTCCAGTCTGTCGCGTCGAGTCAGTCGTTTTGGAGAGGGGCTGGTACTAGTGATTTAGGATCGTCGCAAGGTTCGTCTTCACAGGAGATAACAGTGATAGCGAGACCTGTGGATGATACCATGGAAACAAGGACTAGTGGTGATCACTGTATTAGATCTTTGGTAAGTTATGGGATACCTGTGGATTTTTTTAATAAGAAGAGATACACGGTAAAATGTCCTCACAACATCCGCCATCTACTGCGCATGTTCGGAACTTGACGAACCGATATCGATTAAGATGCTTTCATTCACGTTAAAAATCTGACCCGGGCGAAAAATCTACTGCGCATGTTCGGATAGTGACGAACAGATATCGGTCGTAAAAGTGCGCATTTCACCGTAGTCTGACTGATTGTTTTAGCGAGATGAGACGAGATGGATTAATACTTTTTTTCATTCCCAGAGTCAACTACCAGAGTTCGCTAATGGTCGCTTACCAAACGAGCTTCTACGGTCACTGCGCAGCTGCAGGAACTTACAAGATGTCTACAAAGTGTTGCTTAGTTACTGTGATGATCAGGCGGACAAGAAACTCAAGGAATACGAACTAGAAATCGAGAGATTAAACTGTACCGTTGAACATTTACAGTCACAGATCAACGTCTTGTGTCTGTCACTGGAGGAGAGTCGTGAAAACGCTGAAAAAATGTGTGTTTTGATGGGCAAATATGAATCTAACAGCACTGCTTCTCAGCTCTCGTTAACCTTCTGTGACAAGGTTATCGAAACGTATGAAGTATTACTACAGCTTTCCGAGTCAGAACAGTCTTGTTTATTAGCTAGTTGTAAAGCTGCTGGTGTGAAAACCGGTTTAAACTCGTCATACCGGTTATTATATCCAGAAAATTCGATAAAGGATGATCAGTCTGATGACGTAGACGCGTGTCTTGTGTGCAGGCGCACGGCAGAAACAGAAGCGCGTTCTCTTTTACAAAGACTTGACAAAGATTTAGAAGAACAATACATCAAGGAGCAACCTTGGGAATCCGCGTCGTCCCGCAGTAGAACAAGTTCGGGATCCTCGAACGAGAACATGGAGTTCACGCGCGAGGAGGAAACAAGACTAAAGAGTTATATTCAACAGTTGAAATCTGAAAGATTAACAGTAGGATCAACGGTATTGGAACTGCAAGGTGTTCATGATGTACTTGAACCACAGAAAATAGATTCACTAGACCCTAAACTAGACCTGGAGAATGCTGTCTTGATGCAGGAATTAATGGCACTCAAGGAGGAGAAGGCGGAACTCAAAGCTAAGAATTATTTAATTGAAAAAGAAAAGAAAGCTCTTGAACTGAAAATCAACTCGCGCGAGGCACATGAACAGGCGTATCTACTGCAGATTGAACAACTCAAGTCTGAGATAAGAGAAGAATTGAAAAAAAGACGAAGAATAGAAAAAGAAAGAGATGCTGGGAATAAGGTAAAATCAACACTTAATAATCATTTATGCTGAAAGAGTAGCAATAATGGAGATATTGATGATTGATAACGGTGATGATGGGGATGATACGTGATGATGATGATGATTGATAATGGTGATGATGATGATTGATAACGGTGATGATGATGATGATTGATAATGGTGATGATGCTGATGATGATGGTGATGATACGTGATGATGATGATGATGTTACAACAGATAAAGTACCGCAAGTCACATCCCACATGGAAAGGGGTGCTTACGGGTGCTAAGTGATCAGAGTCACAAGAGACTCATTGGGTATGCTGGTCATAGCAAGGGGTTAATCATTTACGGTCTAGGGGCCGACTAACCTCTCCCTTAGGCTTCGGCCGAGCTTCCTGATCAGTCTGTAAATCCACGGATAGCGGTGTCGGGGTCGAAATCTCCGGCGTAGCCGTAAATGCTTCGCGCTGCCATACGACGGTTCAGCACTCGATGTCTGGAAGTATGGTCCTTAATAAACAATTAAAAGATATGCGAAAAAAACTATTTAGCAGATGCTTAGACCAGTGATATAGATACATCATGATGATAGTGATACACGATGATGATGATGAAAACCTAATGACGATGATAAATGATGATGGTGGTACATAATGATTATGGCTGATAATGATATGCCGATGTTGATGATACATGATGTTAATATTACATGATAATACATGGTGCATGATGATGATACTCGATGATGATGATGATGATAATGATAATGAATGATGATACATGATGATGATACATGATGATGATACATGATACATGATGAAATATAATACCGTATGTGTTTTTATCACCAGGATGGTAACCTATCTTCCGGTAATCAATCCAGTTCTGGTTCAGGATCAGGTAACTTGTCAGACATCCGTATCAGTGATGATGACTTACCAACAGATCTACACGAGGCAGCAATTCGTGAGAAGAAGCTTCGCGCTCGTATTAAAGAGCTGATGGAGGCGCTCGAGAGCCTGTCGAAAAACTCCGAAACCAGACACACGCAGACAGCGGAGTACGTGAGTGACTTGAAGAGAGCGAACGGAGCGCTGGTCGCTGCTTACGAGAAAGCAAAGAAGAAACATGCTGCGAGGCTACGAAAATTGGAACAACAGATGATGTGTGTTGTGGAACGACATGACGCGCAGGTAATGTGTTATATTACATGCAAAATCTAAAGCAGTACCGCAGGAAAACCGACGGTGCCGTGCCGTGACAAAAATGCGGTGCCGTGACGGAAGTGCGGCATCGTGCCGTGATCGTAACGGTGCTGTTCTCTAATGTTACTGTTCGGTTTTCTCCAGGATCTCCCGTTTTCTCCCTCCGAGTTGAGTGTTGTATGTTGTAAATATAGAATGTAGTGGTAGTGCATGTGGAGGGAACCTCACGGAAGAGCACTGCATGGGGAGTGGTGGTTGTAAAATATATATATATATATATGGTGGTGGTGGGGATGATTATGAAGATGATAATGAAGATGATGGTGATGATTACGTTGGAGATAGCGATGATGGTGATGATGACGATGACGATGATGATAATGACGATGATGTTGATGATGATGCTGATGGTGATTATGATGGTGATGATGACGACGATGATGATGATGATGACGATGATGATGACGACGACGACGATGATGATAATGATGATGACGATGATGATGATAATGACGATGACGATGATGATGATGTTGATGATGATGATGGTGATTATGATGGTGATGATAATGCTGATGATGGTGATGATGACGACGATGATGATGATAATGACGATGATGATGTTGATGGTGATAATGACGATGATGATGATGTTGATGGTGATAATGACGATGATGATGGTTGTTGCGCTAGGCTTACGGCGAATGTTGAAGAGCAAGCTAAACAACTTGTCGCGGCAAGCTCAGTGTGCGGGGGAGCTTTACTGATTGAATAGGTCAGGAACCACGGAAAATCGGCTGTGATTGATGGTGATTTTAATTGACGATATTCAAAACGTAAACTGAAAACAATACAATCAATGAACTAATTACTAAATAATAGGATTACAAGATAATAGAATCACGCATGAGGAACAACATGCGTTCCGATCATAGTTTTGGTATGACAAATTCTAGAAAA